AGCTGATTTAACAATAGAAACACTGCAGGCCAGAAGGGAATGGCATAAAGTATACAAAGTAATGAAAGGCAAGTGTCTGAATCCAAGACTACTCTATCCAGCAAGGCTATCATTCAAAATTGAAGGAGAAATAAATGGCTTCACAGACCAAAAACAAAAACAAAAAACAAAACACTAAAGGAATTTACCACCACCAAACCAGCACTGCAAGAAATGCTGAAAGGACTGTTGTAAAAAGGAGAGAGAGAGAGAGAGAGAGAGAGGAACGGAGGCATAAAATTAAAATGGCAACTAATAAATATCTCTCAATGATAACCTTAAATATAAATGGCTTAAATGCTCCAATCAAAAGACATGGGATAACCTTAAAAATAAACGGCTTAAATACTCCAATCAAAAGACATGGGGTAGCTGACTGGGTAAGAAAACACGACCCATACATATGCTGTCTACAAGACACCACCTCACAACAAAAGACTCACACAGGATGAAAGTGAAAGGACGGAAAAAAATTTCTAAGCAAATGAGAATGAAAAAAAAAAAAAAAAAAAAAGTTGGTGTAGCAATACTCATATCTGATAAGACAGATTTCAAAAAGAGGGCCATAATAAGAGACAAAGGAAGTCACTACATCATATTAAAAGGATCAATCCAACAAGAGGTTATAACCCTGATAAACATATACACACCAAATACCGGAACACCAAAATATATTTAAAAATTTCTAGAGGACTTCAAGGGAGAGATCAATAGCAATACAACCATAGTGGGTAACTTTAACACCCCACTGACACCACTGGATAGATCTTCTAGACAAAAAAAAAATTAACAAGGACACAGAGTCCTTAAATGATGAACTAGATCAGTTGGACTTAACTGATATTTACAGAATATTTCACCCCAAAGCTTCACCATACATTCTTCTCAAGTGCACGTGGGACATTCTCAAAGATAGACCACATGTTAGGACACAAAGTAAGTCTCCACAAATTCAAGAAGATTGAAATCATATCAAGCATCTTCTCAGATCACAATAGCATAATACTAGAACTCATTACAACAAAAACATTCAAACACTTGGAGGCTAAATAGCATGCTATTAAACAACAAATGGGTTACCTAGGAAATCAAGGAAAAAATTAAAAACTTCCCAGAAACCAATGAAAATGAACACACAACAATGCAAAATGTATGGGACACAGCAAAAGCAGTCCTGAGAGGAAAGTTTGTAGCACTACAGGCCTACTTCAAGAAACAAGAAAAATTCCCAATGATTTTCTAACCCTACAATTAAAAGAACTAGAAAGTAAACAGAAAGAAAAACCCAGAGCAAGTAGAAGGAAATAAATAGTAAAAGTCAGAGCAGAAAAAATGACATAGAAACTAAAAAAGCAATTCAAAAGATCAATGAAACAAGGAGCTGGTTCCTTGAAAGGATAAACAAGATTGATAGACCCTTGGCCAGACTCACCAAAAAAAAAAAAAAAAAAAAAAAAAGAGGACCTAAATAAACAAAATCAGAAACAAAAGAGGAAAACTAAAAACTGACAACACAGAAATACAAAGGATCATCAAAACATACTATGAACAATTATAATCAAACAAATTGGACAACCTAGGTGAAATGGACAAATTTCTAGAAACACATGGTCCCCCAAAACTGAACCTGGAAGAGATAGAAAACTTGAACAGATCAATAACAACTAAGGAAATTGAAGATGTAATCAAGACTCTCGAAGCAAATAAAAGCCAGGCCAGGATGGTTTCACAGGGGAGTTTTATTGAACATTCAAAGAAGATCTAACACCCATTCTCCTCAAACCATTCCAAAAAATCCAAGAAGGTGGAAGACTTCCAAATTCATTTTATGAGGCCAACATAATACTAATTCCAAAACCAGGTAAAGACACTAAAAAGAAAAAAAAAACTACAGGCCAATATCCCTGATAAACACAGATGCCAAAATCCTTAATAAAATACAACAAATCGGATCTAGTCATACATCAAAATATTATTCATCATGACCAAGTGGGATTCATCCCAGGGATACAAGGATGGTACAATATTTACAAATCAATAAATGTGCTACACCAAATAAACAAACTGAAAGATAAAAACTCCATGAGCATATCAATAGATGCCGAAAAAGCATTCTACAAAATCCAGCACCCATTTTTTTAAATTAATTAATTTATTTTTGTTACAGATGTTTCTCCTTTTTCCCCCAATGAGGAAATAGAGGGATCATATCTTGACATAATAAAGGCCATATATGAAACACCTACAGCCAACATCATACACTGGGCAAAAACTAAAAGCATTTCCCTTAAGAACAGGAACAAGACAGGGATGTCCACTTTCGCCACTCTTATTTAACATGGTACTGGAAGTCTTAGCCACAGCAATTAGACATGAAGAAAAAATAAATGGGATCCAAAATGGAAAGGAGGAAGTGAAACTGTCATTATTTACAGATGACATAATATTGTACATAGAAAACCCTAAAGACTCCATCAAAAATCTACTGGATTTAATAAATAAATTTGGCACAGTAGCAGGATACAAAATTAATGTCAAGAAATCGACGGCATTCCTATACACCAATGATGAACTCACAGAAAGAGAAACTAAGAAAACAATCCCATGTATCATCACAACAAAAAATTAAGATACCTAGGAATAAACTTAATAAAAGAAGTAAAGGACCTCTTCACAGAAAACTACAGGTCATTGAAAGAAGAAATAGAGTAAGATATAAAAAAGTGGAAGCATATACTTTGTTCATGGATTGGAAGAATTCGCATGATTAAAATGTCCATACTACCCAAAGGAATCTATAGAGTTAATACAATCCCCATCAAAATACCAACAACATATTTCACAGAACTAGAAAAAATACAGCAAAAGTTTATATGGAACCAAAAAGACCCCGAATAGCCACAGCAATCTTGAAAAAGAAGAACAAAGTAGGAGGGATAACAATCCTGGATATCAGGTTATACTACAAAGCTACAGTAATCAAAACAGCCTGGCTCTGGCAGAAGAACAGGCATATAGATCAGTGGAGCAGAACAGAGAACCCAGAAATTGACCCAAGACAATATGCTGAATTAATACTTGACAAAGGTGGCAAGATCATACAGTGGAGTCAAGACAGCCTCTTCAATAAATGGTGTTGGGAAAATTGGACAGCTACATGCAAAAAAACAAACAAAAAAATTAAGCTGGACCACCAACTTTATAATACACAAGAATAAACTCATAATGGATAAAAGACTTAAATGTGACTAGTGAATTCACAAAAATCCTAGAATAAACTGTAGGCAACAAAATTTCAGACATTACATGTTGCAGAATTTTCATTGAAACAGTGCCTAAGGCAAGAGAAACAAAGGAGAAAATGAACACATGGGACTACAACGAACTAAAAAGCTTCTGCACAGCAAAAAAAAACAAAACAAAAAAAAAAAACATCAAAATGAAAGGGAACCCATTATATGGGAGAGCATAAATGCCAATGATACATTGGATAAGAGGTTAATTTCCAAAATATATAGAGTACTCATACAACTCAACAAAAGGAAGACAAAAAAACCAATTAAAAAATGGGCAGAGGACCTAAAGTGACACCTCTCAAAATAGGACATACAAATGGCCAAGAGACATATGAAAAAATGCTCAGTCACTAATCATTAGAGAGAGGAAAATTGAAACAACAATGAGGTATCACCTCACACGTGTCAGAATGCCCACCATCAACAAATTATTAAACAAGTGTTGGCGAGGGTGTGGAGAAAAGGGGACTCTAGTACACTGCTGGTGAGAATGCAGACTGGTGCCGCCACTATGGAAAACAATATGGTGTTACCTTAAAAAATTAAAAATTGAACTTCCATTTGACCCAGTGATCCCACTTCTAGGAATATACCCTAAGAAGCCTGAAACACCAATCAGAAAGAATATATGTACCCCCATGTTCGTAGCAGCACTATTTACAATAGCTAAGATCTGGAAACAGCCCAAGTGTCCATCAGTAGATGAGTGGATAAAAAAACGCTGTGGTACATATATACAATGGAATACTATGCAGCTGTAAGAAAGAAAGATCTCTTATTCTTTGAGATGACATGGAGGGACCTGGAGATTATTATCCTAGGTGAAACAAACCAATCAGGGAAAGACAAATATCACATGATCTCACTTATTTGTGGAATATAATGAATAAAACAAAGTAATGTACAAAATAGTCCCAGAGACATAGAAGTAGGGTACAGGCTGACAAACCTCAGAAGGGGGTGTGTGTGGGGTGGGTGGGGAGGAATAAAACACAGAACTTATATGCATGTATGAGTAACCAATGGGCATAGACAACAATGCTAGGAATGGGGTGGAGGGTTTTATAGGGAGGAGGGTGTGGATGGGGGAAAAGGAGAAACATCTGTAACAAGAATAAATTAATAATTTAAAAAAATCAAAGGGAAAAAATATCCTTGGGTGAGGATTAACAACAAGAAGAATAAAAAAGTAAGAAAGTAGGAAACCATTTACATTAGCTATTGATCACTTCCTCGTGTGAGCCAAGGCAAGACCACTCCTGCTTATGCCTGAATTACAAAGAATGAGAAATAGAGAAAATGTTGTGAGATTGATCTTGATCTATGAATTTATTTTTGCCTATGTAAAAATGAATGTTTGTTCTTTCTAATAGGATAATATCATGTATTAATTTTTTGTCCTCATAGAGACCTCCAAGATGAATACATTTTTAGTACATCGCATTGATAGTATATATGATTATGTGATTTGCATTATACAATCAATTGGTATTGAAGAAAGAGTTCCAAAGGAATAGATTTACATTATTCCAAAATTAGCTACACTAATCTTTCAGATTATCCCTTGAAAATCAGAAGTCATCAGATTTTTTAGGCCTGTGACATCAATTTGGTTAATAACTTGACTCATTGAATAACTGTGACTAATCTGGAAGCATTTCCTACCTTTGGTTGAAGAACAAACCACTCATCACTTGGATTTTCAAAGTTCCATGAGTCAAAAGGAATCTCTACCTCCCCGAGGAAGCTGTTATGTCCAAATCGATCATAATGCCAGACTGTGAGCTGCAGCGTTCTTGTTTCCAGCTGGGTATGACTGATAGTATACTGCAAATGAGATTGACAACATCACATTTCATATGGAAGGCTCTGCCCCGTTCTAGAGCAGGTTGAAATTTACTTTCACTATCTTTCAGATCAGATGCATTAGTAATATGAACAAACCAAACACACAAAAAAACTTTGTTTTTGTTTGTTTCTGCTACAACTGAGGTTCTATTCCATAAACTTAGTTTGTGTTAGACCTAGCACTGAAAGATGTATCAGCAAAATATTTAGGGGGGAGTCAATAAACTTCAGATATTGTATAAAAAAGTGTTAGGGGATAAAGTTTGTCCCCTCTCCAGTTTTACCTGGTTTTTATTGCCTAATTATTTTTTTGACATCTACTTTATGAGCTTAAGTTTACTATATCAATTCTTTAACTTCTTTGTCTTATTTTATTCATAACAAGAACTCCCAAATCCATAAAAATATTGACAGTGAAACACTTGCAAGCACCAAACTTCATAAAGTCCAGCCTAAGTACAAGGATGAAAATGTAAATATAAATAATATAAATATAGAAAGAACAGAAAGAAAATATTGCTCGAGTAGCTTTTCCTTTTCTGGCAGAATGTTATCCAGGATGACATGCCCACAAACCCTCAAAACTTCTGCTTGTTTTGTGCAACTACCACCTAGGACATGCTTCATACTGACTGATTACTGATCTTGGATTTCAATCTATACTCGTGTTTTTTTTGCTATTTCTGACATAATTAACCTTGGCTCCTTGCTTCCTGAATTTGCCTTGTCACTCTGTTTATCTATTTTGCATGGGCTCAGCTCTGCTATCCTATTATGGTCACTGGATTAACACTCTGCCTACATTTATTCATTTTCATTTTGATCTGCCTCGATATTGGTTCCTGCTTCCGCACAAGACCCCACTGACTCATACCCTCATTCACCAACTTCATGCTATCCTGGACTTTGAACCCATCACTCTGGGCACAAGATGTATAAATTTCCCTGTTACTGGCAATAACCTCTACATTCTAGTCTTCCCAATCTGTCTTACCAGGCTAAATGGGTCCAGGGTGTGAGGGGGGGTTGCGACATGGAAGCCCATGATAAAAGTTATTTCTCTAGGGTTGAGGCCTGAGTCATATCTCATCTAGGCCAATTTCTCTCATATTTCTCAAATTGAACTTTGCATTTCCACTGTTCATTAACCACATGCCTAAATTTTGCCAAATTCTGAAACCTAACAAGAAACAGCAGATATTCATGCTGTGTTACCAGAACAATAAGTTTGTACAAAATGACCTGCTAAGTCAGTGTCGGAATGACAAACTTCTTTTTATGGAACTAGAAAAAACAGTTTTCACAGTGGTGAGATATAGTTTTTGGACAAGATGTGCCAGCTCAGATGTAATTTTGCTGGATCATCTCTACTTAAGTTGCAACTTTAGCAGCAGCAGAGAAATAGAGTAAGAATGGTTTGTATCATTTCTTTTCAAGCAACTGTTAGGAAAGCCAAAAGAGTATTACATTAATTTATTCAAATTCTACTTTTCTAAAATATACACAAGCCTTGACATGCACATTCTCTGTAGTTACTTCTAAACCAATGAGGTTATGAATAGCATCACTATATATTTACCTTTAGTGTTTCATTGAATTCTGGATTGGTGCCTGTTTTGATTTTGGTCTTGCGCTTATTGTTTCTAGATTTGTCAGGAAGAAGGTATGACTTGACATAACTGTAGATGATAAAAGATGAAAGTAATTATTGGGAAAATCTACTTTATAATATATAGTCAGAGACCTCAGTGAATAAAAGAGTTAAAGGGAATAGGCCAATAAATATAAGATACAGAACCAAATAGAATATAGTCTACATAACCGAATACCTAAAAGACAGCTCTGGGTCTTTAGTAAGAGTGAAGTGGTAAAGAATGGTGGTAAAAAGTGTAGGCTCTGGAGTCATGCAATCTGGGTTTAAATTACTCCCTACCTCATTAGTTTTGGTGAACTCCAGAGCTTTCTTATGCTCTGGCCAGTTTGGCTCAGCGGTTAGAGCGTTGGCCTGTGGACCTGAGAGTCCCAGGTTCGGTTCCCGCTAATGGCACGTACTTCCATTGCAGTTTGTCCCCGGCCCCAGTTGGGGTCATGTGGGTGGCAACCACTCGATGTGTCTCTCTCACACTGATGTCTCTCTCTCTCTCTTCCTCCCTCTCTCCCTCCTGCTCTATCTGAAGATAAATGCAAAAAAAAAAAAAAAAAAGAACTTTCTTATACTCTCTGTTCCTCAGTTCTCTCATATGTAAAACTAGGACAATAACAGTATCTAATTTATGGCATGTGAGGATTAAGTCAGCTGATACACATAAGGAGCTGACATTATACAACTCAAGAAGAAATATAATCTATTATTAAGATTAGTGGTCTCACAAAATATTATGGGGTTACATTCATCTTTTTTCAGATATCAGGATTTCTGATGAGTGGAGTCAATAGTCATGGCTAAATGAAGAAAAATGGTGAAAAAGAATAAATAAAAAATAACAACCTAAACCACAATAGCAATTCTACCCAACACCTTGCCTTGAACTATGCCAGGAATCTCCTAGAGCAAGGGCATCACGGCTGACTCAGAAATGTAGATGTGCAACACTCTACCAGATTTCTGAAGCATATCTACTGGGGCTTTAGATGACCCCTTTCTGTCCTAGTCCAAATGATTATATTTGTCCTGAAGCCCTCTGATACTTAGCTGAGGAAGTAAGTGGACAATCTGTACTCAGAATCCATTAATTTGTCTATCTTAAGATGCTTGGAAACAGCTTTGCTGAGTTTTTAATTGAACATAGGTTATCTAATAGATAGAAACGGGGTCACACAGCAGGCCTGAGAGTGCTGTCCTTAGAAGTGCCTGCTTACAATATTGGTCCTTGGCTGGCATCTGGGAACTTGGATTTCAGGATGATTCTCATCACTCCCAGAACAGATATAATTTGGTCACTGTGACTAAACTATAAAAACAATATGGTTTATGCTGAGCATCATTTTTTTTTTTTTTTCTGGAAGACTGGAATTTTGGTATGTGACCAATTGAGTTTCCAAATGAGCTTCTCTGGTAGACAATATTGCACAATGCTGTCACAACCTATTGTTAGAGGAATTAAGTGTATCCGGTATGACTTTGCCGGGAGAGAACACTTGGAAGCTTAAGCCTAGATTCTTCAGAACTTTGTTACATATGCCTCTTCCCTTTGCTAATTATAATTGCATGTGGAGTCCTGTGGGTCCTTGGAGTGAATCATCAAACCTGGCAGTGGTCTTCAGAATCCCTGACACATTTTAATATTCAGCTCCCCTCCAAAGTATCATGGTTCACACCTGCCCTCCCAGGCTGTTCCCTGGAATTCCATGAGCTTCAAAATTGCCCTTTTGAGTTGTTCTATTGGGCTAAGAGCTTGTTAATTTTCTCTGGAAGGTTCCCCAAAACAAAAATTAACTCATATATCCTAGGGTATGCCAGTGTGTCAGTCTTCCATCTCAAAGAGCTGCCTCTGCGTAAACAACAAATATGTCAGTCCTAAATCATACCGAGTAATAGCTTCTTAACAATCAGGTAATCACAGACATAACCATTATACATGCACTTCGGAGAATATTTAGAAGTGTGGCATAGGAGCTAAGTGACAATCAACCTTCAGAGGAGGCTCTGAATCAAGAGGAATGCTAATAAGAATCTTAAAAAGAAATACATATACTGACAAAAATATTCAGCAATTGAAATAAAATGAGGAATATGCTATGTTCTTACGCATCTGTCCTCTGTTTCTTTTCGTCTCCTATGGCCAGATTTCTGCAATTCTTGACAAAAATGTAGAGCCCGCCAGTTTTGTAGCAGTAGCTGATGTGGAGAAGAATTTCACCACTGACCTTCAAGTTGCCATAGTCTCCTGTTTCACTGTAAACACTCATCATGCTGTTAAGGCTGGTCTAGAATAAACAAGATAAAAAGAGTTCCAGTGTTGTACTAATGATCTCTTAACAGAAAACACCCCTTTCATTCAATTATAATTCCTGTTCTTTATAATTAGCAGGGAAGTGTAAGTAAAGGGAAGAAAGCAAAAATCACTTATTTTGCCTATTTTTCTGGTGTTGTATAAAACCCAAGCCTGAGAAAGGACAGATCTAGGGTTACTAGTCAGGCAGGCAGGAAAATTGCTGAGAGGTGACACATTTTCTTTTTGCTTTAGTGAATACCCTTTGTTTATTCACTCTTCTAATGCATACAGTCATTGAGGCATTCCCAATCCCATCTCCTCTCCAAATCCCTGTAGCATTTTCCTTTCTCACTGGTAGGCTCAAGGTCAATCTACTTCAAGGGTTAGAATGCATTCATCAGGACAAAGAAAATCTCATTTTATATTTGGTGCTAGCAGAAGGCACAAACTTTTCTCTCGTTAGTCTGGAAAGCCATAACTAGAGCTTTAACAAGAGCACCTCTCAGCAGCTGTTTGGCTACATAAGTAATGTAAGACCTCAGCTTCCTAAACCTCTCAACAATAGCAACCCACAAAATAGTACACTAAACAATAAGATAATATACCAACTAATAAATAAAATGTTTAAGAAAGTCAAATTCTGGCAGAATGAATGAAGTTTCTGACAAATCACTAATGACAAGAGGCATATTTTCAATCAAGTGTAAGAAAATTAGCCTTTAGTGCCAGAAGCAAAAACTCTATCTTAGCAACACAACTGTCACAAAAGGCCACCTGAACAAAGTAGGTGGGATCACAATACCAGATATCAGGTTACTCTACAAAGCTATGGTAATCAAAACAGCCTGGTACTGGCACAAGAACAGGCATAAGATCAGTGGAACAGAACAGAGAACCCGGAAATTGACCAAATACATTATGCTCAATTAATATTTGACAAAGGTGACAAGAGCATACAATGGAGTAAAGACAGCCTCTTCAATAAATGGTGTTGGGAAAATTGGACAGCTACATGCAAAAAAAAAAAAAAAAAAATGAAGCTAGACCACCAACTTACACAATACCCAAGAATAAACTCAAAATGGATAAAAGACTTAAATGTGACCCGTGAATCCATAAAAATCCTAGAAGAATATGTAGGCAACAAAATTTCAGACATCATACGCAGCAGAATTTTCACTGATACAACACCTAAGGCAACAGAAACAAAGGAAAAAATGAACACATGGAATTACATCAAACTCAAAAGCTTCTGCACAGCAAAAGAAACAACCATCAAAATGGAAAGGGAATCCACTGTATGGGAGAGCATAATTGTCAATGAAATATCAGATAAGGGGTTAAATTCCAAAATATATAGAATGGTCATACAACTCAACAAAAGAAAGACAAAGAACCCAATTAAAAAATGGGCAGAGGAGATAAATAGACACCTTCAAACAGGACATACAAATGGCCAAGAGACATATGAAAAAATGCTCAAAGTCATTAATCATTAGAGAGAGGCAAATTAAAACAACAATGAGGTATCACCTCACACCTGTCAGAATGGCTGCCATCAACAAATCATCAAACAAGTGTTGGTGAGGGTGTGGCGAAAAGGGGACTCTAGCACACTGCTGGTTGGCATGCAGACTAGTTCAGCCATTATGGAAAACACTATGGTGTTACCTCAAAAAAATAAAAATTGCCATTAGACCCAGTGATCCCACTTCTAGGAATATACCCTAAGAAGCCTGAAACACCAATCAGAAAAAATATACATACCCCCATGTTCTTAGCAGCACTATTTACAATTGCTAAGATCTGGAAACAGCCCATGTCCATCAGTACATGAGTGGATAAAAAAGCTGTGGTACATATACACAATAGAATACTATGCAACTGTAACAAAGAAAGATTTCGTATCCTTTGAGATGACATGGAGGGACCTGGAGAGTATTATCCTAAGTGAAACAAGCTAAGCAGAGAAAGACAAATATCACCTGATCTCACTTATTTGTGGAATATCATGAACATAACAGTCTGAGGAACAGGGTAGACCTAGAGATGTGGAAATAGGGTACAGACTGACAACCCTCAGAAGAGTGGGTGGGTGGGGAGGAAAGAGATAAACCACAGAATTTATATGCATGTACATATAACCGATGGACATGGACAACAAAGCTGGGGATGGGGATGGGGGATGGGAAGGAGGGTGTCAATGGAGAAAAAAAGAGAAATATCTGTAACAAATTAGTAAAAAAAACAAAAGGCCACCTGAAATGCTTTCATGAGTTACTCAATACTCTCAAAAGTCTTATCTGTGAACCACTGGGAAATAAGGACTATGGTAAATGCAAAGAGAGCTTTGACTTTTTACTTTTTCATATATATAATGTGGAGCAAACGTAGGTTTACAGTCGCGAGTACATGAAACTTTATCGTTATATTATTACTTATTACTTATCGTATTAATATCCATACAATTGTAAACCTACTTTTGCCCTACCCTGTATATATATAAAGTCATTACATTCGTCCAATTGCTAAGAGTAGACACTAATCAAAGCACAGGATGTGGGTGATGTGGCTAATATCTCTTTCAAGCTTAAATCAAGAGCAAGAGCAAACCAAGGATGCCATAATTACAGGCAGCCTGCCATATCAGCAGGTGTAGACACCAAGGGAGGACTGTACTTAGAAATCAAAACTTAAAGAGAGCCAGTCAGTAACCTAATTGTGTCTTTCCTATTCCTAAAATAAAGCAACAGAATTGTCATGATAGCAGGTGGCTTTTGAAACTTTAATTGCATGTAAATCATCTGGGGATTTATTTAAACAAATATGCAGATGTATTTTATTTCAGGTGGGGTCTGAGATTTTGCTTTTCTAACAAACTACTAGGTTCACAATTTCTAAGCCATTTGTCAAGGCATCCTACAGCACCACAGCAAACTCACAGGGGCACCGCAAATATTTAAAAATTTTAAGGGGCACACAGTGACATTTATCAGACACCATATAAACTACTAACAGTAGTTCAGTGTCAACATTAAGTCACATTTTATTCTGTATGAAGTTGAGTTTTTGGTAGTTGCTGTGACAAAAAGCAAGCATTGTACCAAAATCAATGTAGAACAAGAAATTAAAGTAGTGCTGTCCAATCAGATTATAAGATTTGACAATTCATGTAGTGCCTGACAGACACACACATCCTGTTAGTAAGTATTATGGGTTATTTAAGAATGGAATAAAATATTATTTTTCTCTCAATTTATGCACATATTTTTTTCAAGTGGCTACTAAGTTGTTAGGGTACCAGTGCTTATTAAGTTTTTTGACCTAAATAATTAATAAATTGGCTAGTCAGATATTAGTTTTGGGCTAGGAGTGATATGAAACTAGCACTGAGAGACTAATGGCTTCCTGAACTGACAAAGTTTTAGAGTCTCTGTCCCAGGTAATGCAATGCTGGTCCATGAACCATTCATTCTTTGAGTTTCAAGGTCTTCAAGAATAAGCCCCAATCTCATGTTATATATGAAAAAGATTGTGGCTCACAGAAATTGTTGGCAGTGCCAAGACATACAGCAAGATCTCCACATTTTTAGTCTGAACACTTCCCTACCATACCTCACATTACCTCCTTGTATCACTAACTTGTGTCTCACCACATCCCTCTATAGCCACTATTCAAATAAATTCCTCTGTGAGCAAAGGGCCCCTAAGATGGGAAAAAAATTAAGAACCCACAAATGTTGAAGCTTGGGAGAAATTTAGACAGTTAGGCAATTTTACTACTAACCAAACTTTATGCTCTTAACCGAGCCAATGCTGTGATTTAAAACAGAGGTATTTATTCTAAAGATATCTTGTTAATGGTAAATAATTTTGGACTCTGTATCTTTTGACTGGTACTCATATTTTAATGTTTAATGAATGTTCTTTTTTTTTGAATACTTGGATTTTGATAATGTTATTTACCTTTTAAAAGAGAACCTCTGGTTAATTGAACACACGTCAGAAAAAGATATATGCTGGAAAAATTGCTCACCTAATCAAATTTCCTGTACCATGAAAATTATGAAGTATGGTTGGAAAGAAGAGAAAGAAAAGATTGAAAACTCACAGTGTCTGAGTCAGCATCAGGCACATTTAGGTAGGTCCATTTCTTGTCAGAGCCTGCTTGAGAATTCTTTAAGGAAGTCACCCAAAGGTCAAAAGGAAAATAGATATTAGAACAACAGACAGAAATTAGAGAAGCAAAGAGAAAGACTTACAGGCACATAGATGGGTAGAAGGTCACAGGGGCTCCTAAAGGCTACCTCTCAAGGAAAGCCTGAACACTAAAATGGGAAGGGTCTTTATTCTGTTGGCAGTGGAAAACTATGGACAGTATTTGAGTAGGGGAGAAACCTGATTGGATATGTGTTTCAGGAGAATGACTGGTAGCAGTGTGGAGGACAATTAGAGAGTTGAGAGAATGGTGGCAGGGAAATGCATTAGCAGAAAATTGAGATAATTTATAGGCTTGAGCTGATAAGAGTCTGAATTAGGAATTTAATAGGTTTTAAAACCTGTGTGAGGATCAAGGAAGAAGAGAGAAGCAATCAGGAGTCTTAGGAAAAGCCCATACAAAATTATACCAAAAAGTATTCTGTGGGCAAAGGGCAAGCAGGAGATTATAGTGACTTTTAACTTACTAATACACATTGTCCCAAGGACATTCCTAACCCCTTTGGAAATGCATAGAAAATCAACAAGAGAAAGAAGAAACTTCCAGTGCATGCTAGCGAACTGCTTACTGTTGACAGGCCACTTGCTAGGCTGTGGGTGTTTTCAGAAAACCTGGAGGACACTAAGTCATGAATGCCTTCTTCAGTCTCTTCCAAGAAGTCCTACGGAAGGAAGAAAGTATCAGTGGTTTGGCTCACTACTTTCCTAGGTAGTCTTTTCACTTCCAGAACCACTTTCTTTTTTTTTTAATACCTGAAAAATCAACTACAAATATCTAAAAACTGCCTATTCTAGGTTTTTCTCTTTTGCTCTCCATTCAACCTAAATTACGTCATCAGAGGAATTCCACTAAGCTTTATGGAAAGAGCATGAAATTTAGAATCACACAGACCTGGGTGTTCAATTCCTACCACCCTGATCTCAGAGGTGATTTATTTTGGGCAATGAACTTATTTTTTAATTTAAATCAAGTTGTGTGTGTGTGTGTGTGTGTGTGTGCGTGTGTGTGTATTGTTAAGATGAGAACTATATCTCAAAAGTCTCTCTATGCCTAGCCAGTGTGGTTCAGTGGCTTGAGCATTGTCCCATGGACTGAGAGGTCCTGGTTTGTTCCCCAGTCAGGGTACATGCCCATGTTGTGGGCTCCATACCCAGTAGGGGGCATGCAGGTGCAGGAGGCAGTCCATTGATCCATGTTACTCTCTCACATCAATGTTTCTATCTCTCTTTCCTTTCCTCTCTCTCTAAAAAAAAAAATCAAGAAAAACAATTTTTAAAAAGTCTCTCTAATAGAATAAACTGTTTTAGATGCTAGTCTTATCTAAAATTCTAGATTCTACTTTTGTTCTCTCACTCTCTTTTCTTCTTCATGAAAAAATGTTTTATTAAAATTCTGGATATGTAAGTAATATATTTTTATAGTAACAATGTTCAAACAATATAGATAAATACACATTAAACTTAGACCTTCCATTAATATATTAATGAAAAAAATCAATATTTTATGGTATTCAATACACACACACACACACACACACACACATAAATGAGTTCTATCATGCATACTGTTGTTTCTTTCATTTTTTGCTTATCCTCTTTTCCCTTTCCCTCTTCTTAGCCCAGGTTAAACTAATATTTTGTATCCTGCTGTCCACATTACATACCATATCTTTCTTCTTGTTTATGTGAAAAATTATATAAAATTATCCACACACAGATCTGAGTAGTCATACACAAGAATTTCTTTTAACCATAATTTTATAAATTGAGATTTTATACATGTAATTCTGTACTTCTGTTTAAAAAAAAACATTTCATTATAAAATATGGCAAATATAAAAATACATAAAAATAAATTGCAGTATAATAACATATCAAGCAGAAGCCCTGTTTGTGTCCTGTCCATATCAGAAACACTTTCTCCCCAATTTAAAATAATATCTCAACTCTTAGTGTAATCACATCCTTGCTTTACCTTAGAGTTTTACTACCTAAACATACATCTCTAAACAATATGATTTTGTTGCCTGTTTTTGAACTTTATGTAAATGGAACCCAGCGTTTTATATTACTTTGCATTTTGTCTTTTTGTCTCAATATTAGTCTTAAGCCTCAGCCAAATTGTTTTATGTTACTAGTTTCTTCATTCTTATTTTGTATTCAATGTTATGATACCCCACACTTTATTTATCTATTCTTCTGTTGCTGAATATTTGGATTGTTTTTATATTTTTTTCTACTAAGAACAAAGTTTGTATGAATATTCTTGAATATGTACCATGATTCACAGAAATACAAGTTTCCTTTGGATATATACCAGTGAGAGGAATTGCCAAGTCATAGGGCATGCATATCTCCACATGCTTATCTCTATTATTTTTAAGATAATGTCAGACTTTCAGAAGTAGTTCTACCAATTTATAGTCTAACCAACAATGTATAAGAGCTTCCTATGCTCCATATCCTTGCCTCCCAACTGTCAGTATTGGCAGATTATATTTCACTTTTGCTAATCCAGTAGATGTTTAATATTCATGATTTTAATTTTCATTTCCTTATTACTAAGTTGAACAGCTTCTCCTGAAAGTTGGCCAACTAAATTTCCAGTTTTGTGAAGTACTTTTCAAGACTTCTTTATTTTTATATTGGCTTATTTGTCTTTTTCTCATTGATGAGCTCACAAGATAAGCTGAAGCTCCTGATGGTATCAGAAAGTAAGAAAGTGCTTAAAACAAAACAAAAACAAACTAACAACAACAAAAAACCCAACCCACAATAATAGAAGTTTGTCAAAGGGACGAAGGAGTTAATTGAAAGTCCTCCCAAAGCTGAAAAATTTGAGCAAGAAAATAATGTTGTACTGGATTATAACTGTAAGTATAAGATAAATATCTATGAGTATGTACTGATGTATATAAGTGATTGAATAACAAATAAATGGGTAAGAAGAGAGATATTTTCTATGCAAAATAATTCCTAATAGTGTGTATAGACATTAAATCTTCAAGGAAGTGGAGCATAACTCCTCCAATGTGGTTTGTACACAATTACTTTTTCCAAAGAGTACTGTGATAGAAAAGGAGGAAATGAATAACTTTACAGTGGAGAAACGTGACAAACACTACATCAGCCAGGTGATCAAGGTCAATATCAACATGTTAAATCATTCTGATGGTATGCGCCCTGGATATAATATGGTAAGAATGGCACGTTTCCACTGTGGTCTTCTTCCCCGAAATACATAACCCCTTTCTGATCATGAGAAAAGCATCAGAAAACTCTACAAAATACTTGACCACTACTCCTCAAAACTATTAAGATAACTCAAAACAAGGAAAGTTTAAGAAACCGTCATGGCCAAGAGGAACCTAGAGAGATATGACAATGAAATGTACTATAGTATCTTGGATAAGATTTTGGAACAGAAAAGAGAAATTAAGTAAAAACTAAGGATATCTGAATAAAGTACGCAATAACATCGGTTCATTAATTGTGACAAATATATCTTACTAATATAAGATGTTAATAAGAGAAACTGGGTATGGGGTATATGAGAATTCTCTGTATTATCTTCACAAATTTTCTATAAATCTAAAACTATTCTAAAAATATAAAAATTTAATAAAGAAACATTGCAAACCTATGATAAATCCAGGTTGGTCATGGTGTTTTATCCATAATCACAACTGAATTTAATTTGCTAAAATTTTGCTTAGGACTTTTCCTATCTATATTCAGAAATAAAATAGGCTTGACATATTCTTTTTTAAAATGCCTTTGTTTCGTTTCCATTGGCCTCAGTAAGAGTTAGAAATATTCCCTCATGCAACTGTCTCAAAAAGTTTTTATATAAGGACAAATATTGTACGAGTCCTCTAATATGAGGTTTCTAGAGTAATCAAACTCATACAGACAGAAGCACAATGGTGATTGCCAGGGCCTGGAAGGACAGAGGATGGGTATAGAATTTCAGTTGGGGAAGATAAGAAATGTATGAAGATGAATGATGATGATGGTTGTACAATAATATGAATACACTTTATGCCACAAAACTGTAGATTTAAAAATAGGTAAAATAGTAACTTTTATGTTACATATATTTTACCACAATAAAAAGTTTATATAATATTTAGGATAATAATTTCCTTGAAAGTTTCATAGAGCTTGCCAGTAAAGTCATCTAGGTCTGATTTTGTCTTCATAAGATTGTAAACTACTGTCTTAGTTTTGTTAATCATGTCCAGAAATTTCAAGATTTTACATTTTTCTTGAGTCGGTTTTGATAAATTATATTTTCACAGAAATGTATTTGTTTCATCTAAGTTTTCAAAATTCTTGATATATAATCATTGATATTATCTTTAAACATGTTTTTATCTGTAGTTATGCTCCCTTTTTCATTCATAATACGGTTTTTGTCCTCTTTTTTTCCTTGCCAATCTTTGAGAGGCTACTTAGTTTTTTTCAAAGAATCAAAATTTGTTTTGTTGTTCTCTATTTTATCTTTGTTTTGTAGTTAATTGATTTCTGTTCTTGTCTTTATTTTTACTTTGTTTAATGTATTATTCTCCTAACTAAAAAGTTAAATTCATAGTGAATAATGTTCAACCTTCTTCCACTCTCATGTAAATTTAAGGCTATAAAATTGTCCCCTCAAGTAAGAATTTTGCTGCACCCTTTAATTTTTTGTAATTTTTTTTTTCATGCAGTTCTGGTTGCTTTTATATGTATATTATTTCTTCTTTAACCCAATGATTACTTAGCACTGTGTTTTTACTTTGCACATTTGTGTGATTTTTAACTTATGTTTTTCTTATTAATATCTAACATAATTATGTTGAGGTCAGAGAACATGACGAGTATGATTTTTAACAGAATTTAAAGTGTAACAGAATTTACATTCCAAACTTTTATGTATATACCCTCTCTCACTTCTTTGGTCTTAGTTTCATATTTTTTATTGAATTTATTGGGGTGATATCAGATAACAAAACTATGAAAGTTTCAGGTGTACAATTCTATAATACATCATCTGTATATTGTATTGTGTGTCCACCACCCTATATCAAGTCTCCTTCCATCACCATTAATACCCCCTTAGCTTTATATTTATTAAGACAACTTTACTGACTTATATAATCATCTTTATTTTTTATATCCCTTGCAACCATTATTGCATTTCTTCTCTTAAGTGTTTCATTCAAAACAATTTTCAATGTTGGTCTCTTTATTTTGTACCCATTTTGGTATTGAACACTTTGACATTAATTTGATCCTTGTTTACGTGTATGTCATAGGATTTGTCTGTAGACGTTTTTAGAATATTTACTTGTATTTAATATTTTTAGATTTGCCTATAATATGTCTAGCTGTTATTAATTTCTTATCTTTAGCACTTTCAAACAGAGACTTTTTTAATTTTGAGAAATATGTCTCACTTATTTTTCATATAGTCCCTGTTCTACATTTTTATATTTTGCTCTTTCTGAGTATGCCATTGTCCAGCTGACAGCACTTAAAGTACTAGACTTTATATTTCATCACTTAAAAAAAAGATACTATGAAAACTTTTGAACATCTACAAAAATAGAAGAAATAGTATAATGAACCCTTATAACTTATCAACCAGCTTTAGCAATTATCATTATACAGGGTTGGGCAA